GGTGGCACATGCCTGTAATCCCAGCTACTCGAGAGGCTGAGGCAGGAGAATTGCGGGAACCCGGGAGGTAGAGGTTGCAGTGACCTGAGATCGTGCCATTGCACTCCAGCCTGGATGACAGAGCAAAACTCCATATCGAAAAGCAAACAAACAAAGTTCATGGGAGAGTACTAACTGGCTTCAGCCAATCACTCCTCCCGTTTCTTCTGGCTATAGTGATTGGTTCAGGGAGAGGCCCTTAATCTAGTAGCTGTTGAGATGGAAACAAACAAACAAACAAAACCTCTGTTAGAATTTCCATGGAATCTATTAGATTTCATGGTGTATGTAAGCACGGAGACCAGACATTCGTTTTGCGATCCCAGGGAGAGCCCTGAGCTTCAAGGGTAGGCAGGGAGAAGAGGGCAGTGTGGGAAGAGGAAGCCAAGCTGCAGAAGGAAGAGCTGAGAAAGGGAGAGAAGTCAGATCACTGGTGATAACTCTTTGCATTGCTAGATTCAGCCTTCTCTGAAGTCAGCCTTATCTCTGCTGTCTAATCATGTAAGCCAATACATTTCCCTTTATTTTCTGAAGCCTCTTTGCATTGGACTTTGTGTCAGTTATGACATAGAGACACAACAGTTACCATGGACTTCGAGCTTTCCTGAGTGCTATCCATACAATGAGTCTTATGAATTTCTATCTGACACCTTTACGTAATGATAGAAGTAAAATGCATTCTAAAGATGGATTATATCTGTCTCTTCTCAAATAAATTACTTGGTAACTGTGATGAGTGGCTGGAATGGTAAGGAGAAGCAAGAGCTAGACCTATGTAAAAGTGAAAATGACATTTTCAATTTTAGGGGGCAATATATGATTTTCTGGAATAGCTTCCATTCTCCCAAGTATCTTCATGAAACAAATCTATAAGAATGATCTGGCCAGGCGCGGTGGCTCACGCCTGTAATCCTGCACTTTGGGAGGCCGAGGCGGGTGGATCACGAAGTCAAGAGATTGAGACCATCCTGGTCAACATGGTGAAACCCTGTCTCTACTAAAAATACAAAAAATTAGCTGGGCACGGTGGCGCGTGCCTGTAATCCCAGCTACTCAGGAGGCTGAGGCAGGAGAATTGCCTGAACCCAGGAGGCGGAGTTTGCGGTGAGCCGAGATCGCGCCATTGCACTCCAGCCTGTGTAACAAGAGCGAAACTCCGCCTAAAAAAAAAAAAAAGAATGATCCTAGGATCACACAGTTATTAACACTAGATTTTTCAAAGTGCTCTGTGTCCTGTTCCACTCATAGGAGATCGTTCCTGTTCAGGACACACACCCAGCGCTCGCGGGTCCATGCTGCTAAACTGCATGAAGCAGGAAGAAAGATATTTGCGAAGGAGCCAAGGGGGAAAGCAGGTTGCCTGTGCTAAGAGCAGTGTCTTTTGTGTTCTTTGATAACTTTGAGATTTCCCTTTCCCATTCCTTTCTTCCAATCTATTAATGAACATAAACTACATCCTGGCCTTTAATCATTGATATCATTTCATATATACTTTTTCATTATCCTCATCTCTCCTTTGCTTCTATGAACATCTGTTTCCCAGACCTCTTGAGAATGGAGTGTATACATGGCAGTTTTCCCCATCTCTGAGCCACGAAGCTAAATTTCCTATGCACTTTCAAGAATTACATTGAAAATTAAGCTAAATGTACCATATTTTGTTATAATTATGGTTTCAAAAAAATCGTTGTTAATTAGGTATTCAAGAAAGTTATGTGGTCCATATGCTATGGAGGAATTTATAGTCCGCAGTAATAAAGTTTGGTAATAAAGGGATAGTGATGAGTGAAAGGGACAAATGTAAATTAACATCCCCCAAATAAATCAAGCCGTTTAGAAAATTGGGCCATTCATGGAAACCACATGCAACTAGTTTTAATCGCCAGTTTAAAAGTGTCTGATTTTAGTTGTTTTTTAAAAAAATTATTTTAAAAAACCAAATAGGATTTGAGGCTTAATATTCCGCTATCATTTGAAGGCATAGACCTGCTATGTTATTACCAAAAATTCTTCTGATTATTTTTCATAGAGTCTTTGGCATTGGGTTGGATAATGATGGAAATTAGCAAGTTTTACTTAGACAAGGTCCCTTCCTTTGAGGAATTTATCCTCCCCAACTATCTGCACTCGCCTGAGCAGTGTTGGGAATGGTGTCCCTTCCTTGGCCTGGAAGAGTCCCCTGGGTGATAATGATGATTGACATCAACTATCAAGGGCTTCCTCTGGGCCAGCTCTTGCACTGAACACCTCACATGCTTGTAGTCCTCCAAGGGGGTGTATTACCTAAGATATTTTTTAGTTGTAGGTATGAAAAATATAAACCAGAAATTATATAAGTGACAAAGAAACCTCTCTTGTAATAAGAGGTTTAAAGATTGCGGAGTTCCAGGATTGTCAATTTATCATTTGACACTGTTAAGGACCTGGGGTCTTTCTTTTTTCTTAGCTCTTCTCCGTGTGTGACTTTCGCTTTGGATTGGCTCCGTTCAAGGTCACAAGATGACTGCCACACTCTCAGAGTCACATTCTTCAAGTCAATCCCCAGAGGAAGCAGAGGGAAAACTTTTTCCTGGCATCTGGTTTTCTTTATAGTAGGAAGAATTATGCAGAAGACTTTTACAAGAGGTAAGGAATAGATGTTGAGTAGGAAAGCAACCACATCTACTATAGATAGATGCTACCATTATCCCCATTTTACAGATAGAGAAACTGAGTCTTGGAATGGTTCAGTGATGTGCCCACTGTCTCTCAGCTAATAAGTGGAAAGCTAGGGTTTGAACCAAGGTATTCAGACTTTACATATGTTCTTATCCACTGCACAAAACACTTGGCTCTGGCAAACATATCCCTACCTCTGAATAGGACCCTGGAGTCAGTTCAAGTGAAAGAAATGGGTAAAAATTTTCTTCAATTTTTATTTTTGTTCTTTTTCTTAGAAATGCCTCTTTTTCTTTCCAAAGTCCTGTCCTAGATCCCACCCTCTGAAAGGGAAGTACAGGGTTCTGGGAGAATCTATGGGAGGGGCAGTTAACATGGCCTTGGAGTGAGTGATGGCTTCTCAGAAATGAGTTACATTATCTCCAGCAAGATGTGAAGAACAAGGAAGACTAGCCAAGTGGAAAAGTGTGTGTGTGTGCACATGTGTAGGATAAAGTGTTTCCGGGGAAAGGAAGCAGCATACAAAAAAAGGGAGAATGGGGTGTAGTCGGAAGACGGAAAGTAGCTCGGATAACCAAGGTGTCAAGCACAAAGGGTGATGAATGGAGAGACGAAGCTCTAGAGGTAGTAAGACACCATCACAGACGTTAGTAAACACATTATGGAGCTTAGACTATAGCTGGAGATAAGCAGAAAGTTGCTTGAAACTTTTAGCAGAAGAGGGACTTGATCAGAATAAAATGTGCAAGATCCCTCAGCCAGCAGGATAGAGAATGAATTTCTGTACTACTAAGGTGTGCCTGCATGTCTAAATTAAGTGGGAAACGAAGGTGGGACGGTTAATGCTGTCAACTTGATTGGATTGAGGGAGGCAAAGTATTGATCCTGGGTGTGTCTGTGAGGATGTTGCCAAGAGACTGAACATTTGAGTCAGTGGGTTGGGAAAGGCAGACCCATCCTTAATCTGGGTGGATAACATCTAATCAGCTGCCAGCACAGCCACGATCTAAAGCAGGCAGAAAAAACATGAAAAGACTAGATTGGCCTACCTCCCAGCCTGCATCTTTCTTCTGTGCTGGCTGCTTCCTGCCCTTGAATCGTGGACCCCAAGTTCTTCAGTTTTAGGACTCAGACTGGCTTCCTTGCTCCTCAGCTTGCAGATGGCCTATTGTGGGACCTTGTGATCATATGAGTTGATACTTAATACATTTCCCTTTATATATATCTCTCTATCCCATTAGTTCTGTCCCTCTAGAGAACCCTGACTAATACAGAAGGCTACAGCCTGACTAATTCAAGCTCCCACCTCACTGCATTGGCCCTCCCTGTGCCAGACACTGTTGGTTGATTCATCAACCCTTCCTTCCCTCTTTTGCCCACGTCCCACTTCAGGGATTTAAAAACCCAGATATTGTTTTTCCAGCCATTTGGCTAGGGGTAGCCATATGACCCAGTGTGGCTGTGGGCTTCTGGGAAAGAGTTTAACTTGGTGATAATAGGAGAGGCGCACTAGGAGGCTGTGTCAGACAGAAGCTGACGTCTGGACCCATCTTTCGACCGTGAAGTCACAGATGTAAGGACTGTGAGGAACAAAAGGATGGAAAGAGCCTGGGTCCTGGATGGCAGCATGACGCTTCCAAATCAGTAGGGCCTAGCCACCCTCTCATGGCTTGTTAAGAAAACAGTAAATGTGCCTCTGGATTAAGCCACTGTTGGTGATGTCTTCTGTCGCAGCAGAAAACATCCCTAAGAAAGTCACGTGCATTCATGCAAGAGACTTAGAATTTTCTATTTCATTTTGACTGTGTATGCACTGCCTGAATTGTTCAAGCAAGAGAAGAACATTTCTATAGCGCATTTGTTATGGTGACAGGTGACAAGACAGAGCTCTGTGAAGCTCCTGCGCCCTTTGGGATAAAGGCATGTATGTGCAGCACCTGCTCTGAACAGCAGAGACGGTCTGGTGGATTCCTTCAGCCATGGCTCAGTTTCTTTCTGCTGACCTGTGGCATGGCATGGAACAAAGTCCATTTGGCCTGTGATTTCATCTGAGGCACCCATAGCCATGGTAGAGAGAATCATGAATTTTTTTAAAGTACCTTGAAGTTGTAATAAGACTTTATGTTTGGAGAAAAACATTACTTTTCCCTCAAGCAATTTATATTAATAGAAAAGTGTCCTAAAGAAAAAAATTAAATACAGCAGTGGAGTCTGTTATATTTTTCTCAGACAGACACAGCCCTTTTATTGAAATTCTAATGAAATATATACCCATAAAAATGCTCCCCCTGCCACCACTTAAATGATATTCACATGTATAGCATACCCAAGCCAACAGCAGCTGATTAACGTGTCATCTGAGGTCTGCCATCACCTGATAGGATAAAGCTAATCTGAATCGACTACCTGCTGCATTTTTATGACACAGAGCTATTGAAAAGTACAAGAATAATTAACTGGAAATGTAATAAGACGAGGCTGTCTCTGAGCTCGGGGCTGCCACAAGGCGTAACACCTGATATGGCTTCCCTGAGCGCCAGGCCCACTGCAATAACACTTTTTATGCTGCTTTCTGATGAAATGAGTGACTCAAGTCGTCCATCAGGGCAGTTCGTGGTGAGGAGATCATGACAGCTGTGGCACGTATAGAACAGAGGTGCCTTGTTCCACGGAGTGACACTAATTATGGGTAAGGACTTGGTAAACATGCCTCTCTGTTCGGGAGAAGTGAACAACATGCAGTAAAGCACCAGCATAACCAAAATGACGTCTATAAATAAACAGAAAGGAACGGCACTTTTCTAATTGAATGCAGATAGGTAAATAAATAGGGCACTTAAGCCCATTTTAGATACAATGAGTCATTTTCTACTCTTCCACAAAGTGAAAGGCAATCGGCTCTTGGAGTTGACCCAGATGTAGCATGGTGGAAAGAAGGATTTCCACCTCCACAGCTGCTATCTCAATGAAAAGTGGGTATGTATTTGTATTATAACACACATATGTGTGTGCATACATAGGTTTGTGTGCAACACCCTCTCTACTTAGCAATAGGTTTTATTTTTACAACATAGTTTAGGCAACAGTTTGGTATTCTGAATGCATTGAACTAGAGGTGAAGTGATATGTGTGTTGACTATTTACCCAGGCTGGCCCGGAAATATAAATCCACAGGCAGTCTGATCAATAGGCTTTTGAGGGCTAACCTGATAACCTACCCTCATCTGTTGTCTGGTTTAGCATTGCATTTAGCTACAAGTGAGATAAAACCCAAAGGAACAGCTTGGGCAAGTTCCTTTATGCCTCATGTAAAAGTACAGGTAGATGACCTAGGGCTGCTCGGTGCTCCTGGGACAGGGAGCCAGGCTGTTCCTGCTGTGTGGCTTTGCAACACTGAGTGCTGTGTTCCAGCCATAGGATGAGAATTGACAAAGGCACACACACGCTGTTGCTTAATTAGGTTCCTGGATGCTGCCACATGACACTTGTGGTTGGCTAGAGCTAAGTCACATGGCCACCTCTGTCTGCAAGGGAGCTGACAGCATGTCTCCTTTCCCGGGGGTTAAGAGTGTTAACACCATAAAGAAGGGCAACATGGATACTGGGGAACAACTAGCAACTCTGCCACATGTGATTATACAGAGGAAGGAGCTGCTTTGTAACAAGTAATAAGACAAAAATGCCAGGGCCCTGGCACACACTCACCTCCTTCCTTCTTCTTTCCCTGCATCCCTCACCAATGCCACAGAAAGAGATACCTGGTGTCGGCCGAGAAACAAATGCTAAATTGAAGAATATTTCTCACTTTCCAGAGAGGGGCAGAGGGAAGGCTGTATTGCTGGCTTCTTAAATCTCACCTTGCTGATGTCCAAATTCTACAGCACATCTTTCTTCAGCACGGATCTAGAGTCTTCTTTGAAAAGCAGCTTCCTCTTGGAATAACTTCAATGTCTATCAGCTTTTTACATTTTCATTTGAAAGGGTTTCTGGGTTTCCTGTCTTTTCTTGCAAGCAGATGTCTGTACTGAGAGAAAAATCAGGTTGGACCTGCCTGTGTGACTTGTTGAAGATGAAAGGAGGTACAGTAAATTTGGCATTTAAGTGTTTGTATGATTTATTTAGGATTTTGCTATTTGCAGTCATTGGATAAGAATTCTATAAATCTGGAATTTTTTTTTAAAGAAAAAATTTTTTTATGGGTCTTTTTTCATTTAAGCGATGAAGAAAAAGAAAATAAAATTACCCCCAAGCCATTTTTCCTTTTCCTGCTAAGCTTTTATCTCTGTAGTTTAGAGATGCATGACTTCATGTGCATAGGTGTATGTCACTTAGCACATGCTCCTGGGGAACATGGAGTGTATGCATTGGAGTTCTTCTGTGTAAGAGCTAGGTAAATACAGTACTGTGCTAGAAGTTAACTGTGGAGGCAATTGCTTGGAATAGCATTTAGTACCACTCTACACAAGTCAGAGCTTTCATTAAGGAATTCTTGGAAGTGGCTGTCATTTATGAAAGAAAGGAAAGATTCTTAAAGTGAAAGGAGAGGATATTTTGGGGGTTTATGGGCTGAGTAAGGTGAATGGGGGCAGAATTTAGATTCATATCATTGCATTTAGTATGTGCTTATTGATAGCAGAGGAGGAGGCCAGTGTGGAGAAAAGAGCCTGAGTTTTGTGTGTGTAGGGGGTTCTACAGTGAAGGGGCTGGTAGCCTTCACTGAGCACCCACTATATGTCATGCACTGTCTGAGGCATCTTGCATACACACTCCGGTTTAGTCTGCACAACAGCTGAAGTCCAAAAGAAATGAAGGACCATGCTCAAGGTCATGTCCTCTGAAAATCAGAACGGGGGCTTAAATATGCTCCACTGACTTGACAGGCTCATTCTACCTTACCATAAACATTGGGTTCTAATATAAGGAGAAGAGCTGGCAAGCTGGTTTAACTGGGGGCTCCTGCTCACACAACTCTCAGGTCTCCCACTCTCCCACGTGGACCCCAACAGTCGCACATTCCCCAGCTGACGCAGCTGCGGTGTCTCCAGGACTTGCCATGGCAGCTTGTGGCTGGAGAGACCATTGATGGTGTGCAGTCAATATCAGGATCATTAGAGGTTCTTGGATATCACTGTTGGTCACCACTTATTAGTAGATGGGACAGGTCGGGAGCTCTGGTGGTTAACCAAGGCATGTTAGTTTCTTTTTAGATATTACCTTGATTGCCAATTAGCCAGGACTTTTGTTTTGCTTTTAAGGCATGAACATCCCAGCTGTCAAAGTCTTTCTTTCCCCAGCATCTGCAGCCATCCTGCCTAGGGCCATGAGCTCATCTGATCACTTACTCCAGCCGGCTTATATTTCACCTGGTCTTGGCTATGAGACTGTCAATGAAAGGCCAAGTGGTAAAGTAGTATTTGTGAGTCAGTTCTGTCTCTGATTCAGAAATGAAACAATGCCTCAGGATTGCTTACAGGGAATACAGGGCCATCCTGAGGTGAAACCTAAATGATTCTTTCCCCTTAGTTCTTTGGGGTACAAAGTGACTTGGTATACATATTGGGGAGTTGTTGGTAGGGGTGAGGAGGACCCTTAAGGGCAACCAGATGCATCCTCATTTTTCCTTTTTCCCCCTCTCCTTTTTTCCCCTGACTTTTTACTTCTTTCAAAATATAGGAGCTAATCCTTCAAGCAGAATTGGTTTTTCTTTAACACTTTGATCAATGAATTTATTCCCGATTTTAATTCCATCATTTGTAAAACTGTGGCAGGTGGAAAAAACACTGGGTAGGATGGAAAAGAAGAAGAAGAAAAAACAAAATCCCAAACCCAAAACAAAACAAGCAAACAAACAAAAAACTCAAAAACAAACACATACACAAAGCAAACAAACCGAAAAGGAAGTTTTAAGTACTAGCTAGATAAAGAGGCAAATCACAATCTCTATGAAGCTTCATTTCCTCAAAAGAAATATGAAGACAGCCAGACTTGTCTTACTTCCCCCATAAGAGTGTTGTCAGACACTAATGAAATAATCTGTGTGAAAGTACTTTGTAAACCCGTGCATTTATGCTTTGCTTTTTAACAAAGATGCCGAGAACACACAATGGGGAAAGGACAATCTCTTCAATAAAGGATGTTGAGAAAACTGGATGTCCATCTGCAGAAGAATGAAATTGAACTCTTGTTTCATACCATATACAAACACCAGCTCAAGATAGTTTAAATACGTAACATCATACCTGAAATTGTAAAACTACTAGAAGAAAACACAGCAGGGAAAACCATACAATACTGGTCTAGGTGATGATTGTTTGGATTTAACCTCAAAAGCTCAGGCAACAAAAGCAAAAATAGATAAATGGGATTACATCAAACCTAAAAAGCTTCTGTACATCAAAGAAAACAATTAAAGAGTAAAGAGACAACATACAAATTGGAAATATTATATTTGCATGCCACACATCTGATGAGTTAACGTCCAAAATATATAAGGAACTCAAACAACTCAATAGCAAGGAAACAAATAACCTGATAAAAAAAAATAGGCAAAGGCCCTAAAGCGACATTTCTCTAAACATGACATACAAATGGCCAACAGGTATATGAAATAATGCTCAACATTACTAATCAGGGAAATGTGAATTAAAGCCACCATGAGGTATCGCCTCTTAGCTGTCAGAATGACTATTCTCAAAAGATGAAAGGTAATAAGAGTTGGTGAGAATGTGGAGAGGGAACACTTGTGTACCGTTGGTGGGAATGTAAATGGGAACAATCACTGGGAAAAATTATATGGAGGCTTCTCAAAAAACTAACAATAGAGTTACCACATGATCCGCAATCAACTTCTGGTTGTGTATCTAAAATTTGAAATCGGTAGGTCGAAGAGATATCAGCATTTCCATGTTTGTTGTAGCATTGTTTACAACATCCGAGTTATGCAATCAACCTAAGTGTCTATCAGTGAATGAATGGATTAAAAAATTTGGCATCTATCCACAATGAAATACAATTCCACCTTAAAAAAGAAATTCTGTTATTTTCAACAACATGGATGAACCTGGAGGACATTATGGTAAGTGAAATAAGCTGGGCACAGAAAGACAAATAGTACATGTTGTCACTTACATGTAAAATCTAAAACAGTCAGACTCACAGAAGCATAGAGTACCATGGTGGTTACGAAAGGCAGAGAGTGAGGGAAAAAGGGAAATGTGCTCAAAGGGTAGAATGCTTTAGTTAGACTGGAGGAATAATGGAATTTGAGGTGATATGCTAATTACCTTGATCCAGTCATTCCACATTGTGTATATATAACATCACTTTGTGCCCTATAAATATATATAATTAGAATCTTTCAATATGTAATAACACAAAAACAGAAAGTGCCTTCTGAAAAGTGTAGTATGTCACAAGCATGGTTAGCAGTTTGTGTTCTGGGTTCGGACAGGTCTGGGAGCAATCCTTCCTAGTGGTGTGAGATGGGCAAATTACTTGATCTCAGTGATTCTCCACTGGGGGAAATTTTGTTTGACTCCAGGAATATTTGGCAGTGTCCAGAGACAGTTTTAGTTGTCACAACTGAGGAGCAGGGTGCTACCAGCATCTAGTAGGTCGGAGCCAGGGATACTGCTGAACATCCTATAATGCACAGAACAGCCCTCCACAACAAAAAATTATCTGACCCCCTATGTCAATAGTCCTGAGGCTGAAAACCTCTGATTTATTTTAATAAACCTCAGCTAAAAAAGAAAAAAAAAGCAACTTACTATAGGACAGAAATAACTGTCGTAATAAGAGAACTTACTGCACAGAGGTTGCCTAAAGCAGTGCCACTAAGTCGTAGCTCAGTACCTGGCAGACGCTGTGCTCATAAGCTTATTCCATGCTCAGCATTCCTGTAATGGCTCTTTCTAGAAGCCTTCCTACATATTTGCAGTCCTTCATCATCAACCCTTCCTAATTTTACATTAGTCAGCATTCGTCTTGCTTTGGCTGCCTATTCTCCATTTCCCCTCTTCAGCAGCACACCAGTTTCCTTTTTGAGAATTTCCTCTCTCCAATTATTGTGAGGCCTCGGTGGCAACATAAATCCAGATGCCTCTCTAAGGAAGCAAAAGAGGCCACATCCTTCTTCTCCCTGCCCCAGCCCAGCCAAGGGGTGGGCGTATGACCTGACATTGGCCAAATAACTTCTTCCAGGACGCTGACTCTTGAGTGGAAGAAGTGATAAAAACAGCACCAGTTTTCTGACCTTAGGGTTCCTGCTTGAGTTTATGCCTCTGGGGCCTGCTTTCCAACTCCACAGAGCCTCTTGTTTCCTGTCTTTTCCAGGGCCTGTTTTCAGCCCACTGTGGCCTCAGCAGGGTTCCCACAGTCTTCAGTACGTCTCCAGTGTTTGTTCTGTTGCTTGCAGCCAAAACTCTTGACCGGTCACTTGCCCCCCAATGACCCAGTGCATAGAACAATAGCACACTGTATTGTGTCTTTTGGTGAGGGGATGAGGATGGATGCATGGATTTGTAGCCTGACAAAACAGAAAAGAGCTTCTAATTGTATTTTTCCCACTAGCACTGCAGCAAATATTAAGTTCTAAGTTCAAAAGTCACATTCTTTATTGAAGGAAAAGTGGAATCTTCTTCCTCCAGCCAGGTCCTTATCAATAAACATAAATTAGCAAAATGTTTTAGCTCTATCCTGTGGTGAACCCTTTACATTTGGCTAATAGAACTGGGCAACAATATGACTTAAAATATTGATTTAAGCAAATTCTCAGAAGTACGTAGTATACTTATTGTAAAATATACATTTGAAGCTATCTTTTTTCACCCCATTTTATCTTTAGTGTTTGCCAAACCCTATTTTAATATCCGTATAGAATGGAAACTTACATTTTGTGCCATTTGGGAATAGTCCAGCCAAGCAATGACACTGGCTAGTGATAAGCACGAAAAAGAGAAATTAGCAAATTCATTAATAGTTGTTTTTAATTTAGGTTTTTTTCTCTGGACCTGAAGTATGACT